CAATTTCATGAGTGGTCCCTGGCAATACCATCAGACGAATCAACCCAGCTAAGCCCAGTCAATACATAAAACTTGAAGTATAATAGACTAGTTTTTGTTTTAACTTTTTGGATTTTGGGGTCATCTGCTATGCAGAAATAGATAAATTAAGTGGATACTATTCATTATAAGATGTGTCCCAATTTCTGGGGCGTTAAAGTATGAAAAATATGCAATTTAGAATTGACGAAATATAAAAATAGAAAAGCATGCAAATTACCTGAATAGGTAATTTGTAGAAGAAGAAGTCCTAATGGCTAATATGAAGAGATGCTCCACCTCTTTAGGGATCAGCAAAGTAAATAAAACAATCAAGAAATAAGACTTTTAGTGGCTCAGTTGGTTAAGAGCTTGCGCAAGAGTGTGAGCTCTGAGCAACAGCGGTTCAATGCCCGGCCCGAGCTGAGTTGCTGCTGAGCTGCCAACAGGTGGCAGGATGGCTCAGCTAAGAAAAAAAAAAAAAAAAAAAAAAAAAAAAAAAAGACTTTTATTTTTAAAAGTGCAAAAAATCAGAAAGTTAGATAAATATCGGCAAGAATATGGTGAAAGTGGGACCCCTTTATGTATTATTTAAGGGAGTATAAATTGGTGCAGCCATTCTAAAATATATTCTGGCTGAATACTGAAATTAAGTTTTTATGTATCCTTTCATTCAACAATTACAATCCTGGCTGTATAACCCAGAGAAACTATCACACAGGGCAATAAGTTGTCATGTATCAGGATATTCAGAGCATTTGTCACCAGAATGCAAAATTTCCCAAACTGAAAGTCAAAGAGAAAAAAGACTGAAAAAGAAATGGAGCAGAATATCCAAGAACTGTGGGACAATTACAAAAGGTATAAATGAGAATACTAGAAGGAAGATGACAGAAAGAAACAGAATAAGCACTTGAAGTAACAATGATCAAGAATTTTCCAGTGATTACCAGACACCAAACCGTAGATTCAGAAAATTCAGAGAACACTAAAGCAGTATAAATCTCCAAAACACTAAACTGAGGCATATTCTATTCAAATCACAGAAATTCAAAGACAAAGATAAAATCTTGAAAGAAGGCAAAGGGAATCAAAAAGCCTTGCCTATGGAGGAAGAAGGGAAAGAATTATGTTCAGACTTCTTTCAGAAACCATGCAAGCAATGAGAGATTGGAGTAAAGTATTTATTTATTTAATCAAGTTTTTAATGTATGAAATCTGAATCCTGTGAGTGATATATACATACCTAGATCAATTTCTTAGGTCAAAGTTGTGGTTAAATTCACTTTTAAATTTAATGGTCCAAGCAGCTGGGCCAGTTCTCTGTACCTTGATAGCCTTTCCTACCAATGAGATAAGTATAACAATCTGTGCTAATTCATTCCATCACAATTGTCATCACATTGTATTTTAATTACCAGTTTATCAGTGGCCCATTAGATTAGGGTTCCTTGAAAGCAGAAACTGTCATGTTCACTTTGCCTTGAAGTAGGTACTAAATTATTTGCTAAATGAGTAATGAACAATATTTCTTTCCAAATAGTATGATTTATCTGTAATTATTGAGCATTAATCTCAAAATAGTCTATATAATATGATTTAAAATCCTCAAATTTAAACAGGAAACTTATATGAAGGGTTTTAGTTTGTGCTGAATCATTTTAAAAATTTGTAGTTTTGAGACACGTTATTATAAAAGCCTTGTACTTATATACATCAACTAAAAAGAACTTAAAATTCATCATACATTTACTTTATTTTTTAGCTTGACCTTCTAGTAAATCTTTAGCTTCACTGATTTTGACTGCTATATAAGGAGATCCTCCCTTGTCTGGGTGATTTCAAAGCATAATTTGTTGATAAGCATCTCTTATTTTTCCTTTATTGGCAGTAGGGCTTACACCGAATATTAATGCTGCTTCCTGTTTTGTCATTTTCGGTTCAAACCCACCTCTGTAATAGCCACTGCTGATGGCAGATTTTGGTAGAATTTGAAAAACTTGTTTTACTTGAGGCTCCATGGCTTGCAAAACATGGCCTGCAAATCCTGCAGCAGCAATGGTCAGTCCAACTGCTACTACTGTGCTGGCCGTGGCTGTCTTTCCTGCCTCCACTGAGAGCGTGGTTCATCCTAGCCAAGAGGCCACAATCACTAACTCCACGCTTCCACCAGAAGGCAACACGGACACTTCTAGCAGGGGCAAGCCATCAGACATGTGCCTTTTTGGGAGCCGGCTGCACCTCAGTATCTGACATGGCCAAGCGCACTGCAATTGTGACAAATTCTGAAGCTCTGACTGAAAAACAGATACCGCTTTATATCTTAGAAAATTTAAATTCCCCTTCTTGTTGTGATATATCACAACAATTCTATTTTATACACTAAAGGCAATTTTAGTCACACTACTAGTCTCTTAGTAAAGGTCAAAGTACACCCCCTGTACTTCTTAAGATCCTGCTTAGACAATAGTTTTTAGAATAAATGTTGGGTGGTCATGGTAACCATCCTTTGGGCGATTATGTAGAGGCTCAGGCTTTGGTAGTCATTGTAGGTGGAGGGATTTGGACACAGTTAAGATAAGTTAGTCTTTAGCATAGAAAAGGTATAGCTGTACACTGGAGCATAAGAATTATGAGGAAGTAAAACCCTGATACTAATGGAACAATGGTTAAACTGCCCGGTATAAAAAGGGGAATGCTGTAAAAATAAAGTGTGACACTTTTTGAAAAAGCGCTCCTTTGTCTCCGCACATTTTTTCCTTTTTCCTCGCCAATGCTGTCTCCACCTGAGGGAACCCCTGGACCTGTGGGAGCTGGTCTCCCACAGTGCCTCAAGAAACATGGCCTGGAGTGAAGTCTTTAAAGTGTTGACAGTGGGCCGTCTGAGTAGCTCAGTTGGTTAAGAGCTCGCTGAAGAGTTTGAGCTCTGAGCAACAGCGGTTTGAACCTGGCCCGAGCTGAGCAGCCGCTGAGCTGCCAACAGGTGGCAGGATGGCTCAGCTAAAAAAAAAAAATAAATAAAAAATAAAGTGTTGACAGTAAAACCTCAACAACTTAGAATTTTATATCCAAATTATCCTTTAAAAGTGAAGGAAAGTTAACCTCTCAGAAAAACAAAAATTGAGAGAAATTGTTGCCATTAGATCTGCTTTGTAAGAAATGTTAAAAGGAGTTCTTCAGAGAGAAGAAAAATGCTGTAGGTCAGAAACTTGGATCTATTGGGTTGTCGGAAAAGTCATGACACATGTTTGTGACAGATGGCACTAGTTCATTTTTGGAAATACTAGAGTCATTTGCATCTATGTTATTGCTATGTCATTTGACAGCTGAAAGGTCTCACTTCATTCTAAAAAAAAATTGAGCGATTTGGTTGAGTTTTGGAGATTTTACAAGTTGAAGATGGAAGACCAAACTGTGCATTTTTGCCATATTTTACTGTTTTACTTTCATAAATGAAAGAACATGCATCAAACTTGTGAAAAGTTGTGTAAAGTTTACGGTGACAACGCTCTACAAGAACGTCTGTGCCAACAATGGTTCACGAAATTCCGTGCTCGTGATTTTGATCTCAACAATGCTCCTCGGTCAGGGAGGCCCACTGAGGTTGATGACGACAAAATAAAGGCATTGATCGAGTCAAACCCATGTTACACGTCACAAGAGATTGCAGAAACATTGAATATCCATCATTCAAGCATTCACGACCACCTGAAGAAGCTGGGATACTTAAGCAAGCTTGATATTTGGGCTCCGCATGAACTCAAAGAAGTTCATTTGACGGCGTGTATAAACATCTGCAATATGCTCATTAAACATGAGGAAAGTGATTCTTTTTTGAAGTGACTGATAACTGGTGATGAGAAGTGGATTATTTACAACAATGTGGTGCGCAAACAGTCTTGGTCCCGATGTCATGATTCACTTCAAACAACATCAAAAGCAGACATTCATCAGAGGAAGGTTATGCTCTCAGTGTGGTGGGATATTAAAGGTGTCGTGTTTTTTGAGCTCTTACCAAAGAACCAAAATATCAATTTGAATGTGTACTGTCAGCAGTTGGACAGTTTGAATAAATCCATCATCCAGAAACATCCAGAGCTTGGTAATTGTAAAGGAGTTGTGTTCCATCACGACAATGCGAGACCACACACAACTTTGATCACCCATCAAAAATTATTGGAGCTTGAGACAACATAAATTGGTAACTACAGTATTGCCTCTGGAATAGAAAAGACAGTTTGGGGAATATAATCAATAATGTTGTAAATATTTTTTAGGGGGCCAGATGGTCTCATGCTTTGTCAGGGAGACCACTTCATGGATGGAGTAGAGGCCTGACCACTGCACTGTACATCTGAAGCTGCCGTTGAATAATATTATAGGTCAACTATGATATAATACATATATAATCACGGGATGTGGAGTATAGTACGGGAATGGAGTCCATGGAATTGTAACATGTATGATATCGGGGGTGGGGGAGCAGTGAATGGGAAGAGGAGGTTGTCAATTTGTGAAGGGTGAAAAGGATGACTATTGCATTGTTTTGTACACCTGAAACTAATAATAATAATAAAAAAAGGTTTCTGGGTCCTTGATGGCACACATTACATTTGCATAACACTGTTACAATGTAATGTGTTTTTTAAAAATTATTTACTTTTTATTTATTGCCAAATAAAAGACTTGGTAAGTGTTAAAAAAAACAAAATTATTGGATCTTGGATGGGATGTGTTGCCACACCCACCATACTCGCCTGACCTTGACGTGTCAGACTTCCACTTGTTTCGCTCTCTTTAAAACTCCTTGCGTACTACATCTGCCAGCATGCCTCCGGTAGGGGTGGGGGACGCTGGCACCCAGCCTCTCCGGCTTCCCGGAGTCAATCAAGGTCCACACAGAAGAGGATGGAAGTGGCCCCGGGTGCCAGGGCTCCAGAACCCGGTGAGAATCAGGGTAGTGTCTTGTCAAAGCAGCAAGAATCCAACGCTGGCTTCGGGGATGAGGGGGACACAGTTGACATGGGGATGAGCAGAGAGCGCTCCTCCGAAACGGCCCTGTCGAGCCAGATCCTTTCTGTGCTGCAGGAGAAGGCTGCCCCCAGGCTGAGTCTGTCGAGCCAGGATTTGGAGGTGGGCGACAACCAGGGACCCTGCGACTCCCCTGGAGCTGTAAGGGTAGGCCAGCAGAGGGCTGTGTGGAACCTCTTTCACCTCTGCAGAGCCCGACTCTTAGCTGCTGATGTGCCTATCATATGCCAGAGCGTTTGCTAGCATCTCATTTAATCTAAATCGAAACGGCTTAAACACAATGGATACATGCCCTCCCTCAGATTATCAAACATTACTCTCTGATCCAAAGTGGGAATTAAATGACTAGGGAGGAATGGTGGGGCTCAAGCTTCTAGCGTGGCTTCTGGTCGTCAGTGGCTGAAGAGGATGGACTGACAGTCGGCTGAGGCACAGACAATACCAGAGGGAAAGGCACATCTGAGGGGGTCATCTTGCGCTGGCTGTAAAGTCAGGGAACTAGAAGCTTGACGAAGGGAACCCATCACAGTGGGTGCTACTTCTTATTCTTCATCTTTGTCCCCGTCCCAAGTACTTCCCCGCTGTAGCTAGAAGGGAAAGAAACTGTACTGACTTGACTGTGGCTAAATTTCCTGCACGTGGAGGACTTTATAGTTGCTCCAAGTAAATTTCGTTCCAAAGATCCTGTGCCATTGCTCCTGTGTGGTAAGAAAAGGCCCCTGCCAGTTTAATTATGAAGGAGGCCTGGCATTTCGGCATAGACATAACGTAACTGATCTTGCCTGACCTCTCCCCCAAAGAAAACCACGGGAGCAGCCGCCAGGAGGGCCGAGGTGGCGGTTCTCAGTGCTTCTTGTTCTTGCCGCAGCTGGTCATCAGGGAGGACCCCAGGGCACTGGCCGTTGCTCTGAGCTGGGATGTGAAGAAGGTGGAAACCGTCCAACAGGCCTGTAACCAGGAGCTGAGCCTGCGTCTCCAGAAAGTACAGAGTTTGCGTTCTCTCAGGAACGTCTCAGCAAGGAGGGATTCACTGCCTGGGAGAGCTGCCTAGTCCCAAACGAGCCAAACAAGACCCCACACGGCTGTAGCTGGAAATACGTGAAGCAAGCCCTGCGGCCTTGGTGTATGCTCTGTTATCATTCCTGCGGCCTTTTGAGCCACCCATGCCCTACTCTGCCCACTGCCTAGAGCCGTTCCCCTGGACAGGCTAGAACACTGGATCCACGGCCCCTCCAGGAAGGCCAGTCCGGATCTCAACATGGGCCCTTCCCCCGGTTTTGAACGATACAGCTGCACCAACAACATCCCACCTAATCTAACGACATGGTCTTGTGTTTGTTTAAAAGTCATTGTGAAGGGCAGTGAAAAGAAATTGTCATATTTCAAACTATCCTTGTCCTAAAGATAGAAATGCAGAATTTCAACAAAAGTAATGGTAGAGAAGGTGACATAATAGAGCCTTGATAATAGCCACAAACTTGTTTCTCAAGTTAATGAACTTTGTTTGTTTGTTTAAAGGCACAGATTAAGTTTACAGACCATAGGGACATACAGGGAGTCTAATTCACCATTTCTAATATCTACTTCAGTATTATGAAATTATATCTAAAACTCTTTTCAGTTTTCTAATATGTTTTATCAGCAGGGGGTATAAAAGGTCATTAAATTGATTTCTATGCCAAAAAAACAAAACAAAAACAAAACTCCTTGCGTGGTATAACATTCAATTCAGATGAGGCTATAAATCAGCACCTTGTTCAGTTTTTCACAAATAAAGACAGGTCCTTGTATGAATGAGGAATTATGAAGCTCATTGAAAGATGGCAAAAGGTTATCGAACAAAACGGGCACTGTATCATTGATTGACCTTTGTTCTTTATATAAATAAATGACCTTTGAAAAACATAGACAAAATACGTCATGAGTTTTCTGACAACCCAATACATAAAGAAAGGAAGAACATTTGAGAAGGAAGATATGAAGATAAAACAGTCTTTTTTTTTCTTAACTGACCTAACTGATAACAGTTTGTTCAAAATAATAATAGCAATAATATCTTTGATGCTTGTAGCTTATGGAAATGTGAAATGACAGGAATGTTAGAAGGGAGTGAGGTATTGAGAATATTCAGTTGTAAGGTACCTGTCCTACTTGTGAAGCAGCACCACATTATTTGAAAGTGTACATAGATTAGTTGTAAATGTATATTGCAAATTCTAAGGCAAGCACTAAAAAGTTTTTTGAACAAGTGTAATTGATATGCTAAAAGATGAGCGAAAATGGAATCTTAATGCTCAATTAAAACTAGAGAGGTGCAGGGCCGGCCAAGTGGCAGTTGGGTAAGAACTGGCTTGGGATGCCAGAGTGCCCCGGTTCAGATCCCACATATGAGGGCCAGTGACACTGCCCTCTGCAGCTAAGAAGCTGAACAACAACTCAACCTGGAGCTGGGCAGCCGTGAGTCGCCGGCGACGGCGTAGGCTGCAGCCCCTGCTGCAGTGTGTTGCCATGGGCTACCGTGTGTAGCCAGCAGCCAGCATGAGCGGCCAGCAGCCGCAGTGAGCGGCCGTCCAGAAGCCGGCGACTGATCTGCCTCACCCGGGAAGAGCGCAATGATGGTGCCAACTTGGGCCAGTGAAGCAACGTCCTCCACAACTAGACTACAGAACAAAAAGACAGCAACTTGTCTGTTCCCCTTCCCCCAATTCCCCAATAAAAATCTTAAAAAAAAAAAGCATTTAAAAAAACTAGAGAGGTGCAAAAAAGAGTGGATGATAAAAAAAGAAACACAGAAAAAAGGCAATGGATAGAAAACAGTTAAAATATTGTAGAGATTAATTGGGTATATAAAAATCAACTTAAATATGAATGGTCAAAATACATTAATTAGAAGGAGGATATTATCAGACGATAAACAAAACAAGACCCAACTATATGTTGTCTACAACAAACCCACTTTAAGTATAAAGACACAGATAGATTAAAATTCAAGGATGGAGAAAGGCATGCCATGCTAACACTAACAATGATTTTTAAAAGCCTGAAGTAGCTACATTAATTTCAGACAAAGCACATTTCAGAGCAAGAAAAACTGTCAAGGATAGAGAGGGGCTTTACATGATGGTAAAGGGGCCAGTTCTCTAAGAAGACATAACAATTCTGAGCGTGTATTTACCTAACAGAGAGTCAACATATATGGAGGGAAAATCTGATAGAATTGCAGGGAAAAATAGACAAATCCAAGCTTATAATCAAAGACATCAGCACCCATCTATCAGTAATTAACAGATGCAGCAGGCAGAAAATTGGTAAGAATATAGTTGAACTGAATAGCATCATCAAACAACTGGAGCAAATTGTTACAGTACACTTCATTCAACAATGGAAGAATACACATTCTTCTCAAACTCATATGGAACATTCACTAAGATAGGCCACATCCTGGTTCATAAAGCACATCTTAACAAACTTAAAAGGATATAAATCATACAAAATATGCTCCCAGATAACAATGGAATTAAATGAGAAGTCAAAAATAGAAAGATAGCTACAAAATTCCAAAAGATTTGGAGATTAAACAACATACTTCTAAAAGACGCATGGATCCAAAAAGTCTTAAGAGAATTTTTAAAATATGTTGAAATAAATGAAAATAAATTAACTTATCAAAGTTTGTGGGGTGTAGCAAAAGCAGTTCTTGGAGGGAAATTTATAGCATGGAATGCATATGTTAGAAAAGAAGACACACATAAAATCAATAGTATAAGTTTTCCCCTTAGGAGAGTTGAAAAAGAAATTAAATCCAAAGTAAGTAGAAGAAAAGAAATAATAAAAATTATAGCAGATATCAATGAAATTAAAAACAGGAAATCAGGAGGCTGCATAGGTCAGTTGGTTAGAGCACGTGGTCTGAACAACAAGGTTGCTGGTTTGATTCCCACATGGGATGGTGGGCTGCGCCTCCCACAACTAGATTGAAAGCGGTGACTGGACTTGGAGCTGATGGGTCCTGGAAAAACACACTGTTCCCCAGTAAAGTTAAAAAAAAAGTTAATTTTAAAAAAAAGCAAAACAAAAACAGGAGATCAATAGAGAAAATCAATGAAACCAAAAGCTAGTTATTTGAAAAGATCAATAAAGATTGGTAAAATTCAAGCCAGGCTAATCAAGAAAAAAAGACAGAAGACACAAATAACTTATATCAGAAATGAAAGAGATGACATTGCAACTGCTTCCATGGAAACTAGAAGAATAATGAAGGAATATTATGAGCAACTTCATGTTCATAAATTTGATAACAGATGAACTGGACCAATTCTTTGAAAGAGACAATCTACCAAAGCTCCTATATGAAGAAATTGATTGTCTGAATAGGTCTGTATCTATTAAAGAAGTTGAATCAATAATAAATAACATTCTAAAACAGAAAGCACCAGGCCCAAATGGTCACTGGTCAATTCTACCAAACATTTAAAGAAGAAATGACACCAAATTTTCTAAAATCTCATCCAGAAAATAGAAGCCAAAGGAACACTTCCTAAACCATTCTATGAGGCCAGTATTATGCTAACACTAAAACCAGAGAAAGACATTACAGGAAAGGAAAACTACAGACTCTCTCATGGACAAAAACCCAAAAGTACTCAACAAAGTATTAGCAAATCAAGTTCAACAATGTGTAAAAATAATTCTATACCATGTACCGTGGGATTTATTAGAGGTATGCAAGGCTGATTTGACCTTTGAAAATGAGTGAATGTACACATCATATTAACAGTCTAAAAAAGAAAAATCATATTATTATACCAATATGTGCAGAAAAGCATTTGACAAAATCCAACACCCATTCATGATAAAAACTCTCATCCAACTAGGAATTTAGGGGAATATCCTCAACTTGAGCTAACGTTATACTAATGGTGATTGACTAGATGTTTTTCCCTAAAATTCAGAACAAGACAAGGATATCACCTCTAACCATTCTTATCCAACGTCCTCTTGCAAGTCCTAGCTAATGCAATACGACAAGAAGAAAAGGCATACAGATTGGTAAAGAAGAAATAAAACTCTCTTTGTTCACAAACTGTCTAGGTAGAAAATCCAATAGAATTGAACTTCAAGGGAGGTTTGGGACAGGGTTTCCTGGCTTTTGATTTTAAAAGAATAAAGCATTAGGAGAATAACAGAATTTGAGAAACAAAAAAGCCAACTAAGAGATTAAGGTTTATGTGACTAAAATGACTAGAGGGTTTCAACATGTCCCTAGACTCCAACAATTCTTCGAGGATGGAAAAGATTGAGGTCAGTGGATTTGGGGGGGATTTCAGAAGGAAGGTCTGCATGGAGCACCCGGAAGGCTGGACGTCAGATTTGTCAAAGATTCTTATCCCCCAAAATGACAGGGAGGCCACAGAGTGGATCCAAAACAACCACGTGGACTGCAGACAGGTGACTGCTGCGGAGTGGAGTGCAACTGCTTGATCCTGCATTAGCTTACCAGGTGGGAAGAACCCCGGAATACCTGAGATAAACTTCCTGTAGTCTACTGGGACTGGGATTTAGAGTCACATTTCATTTTATAGAAAAAAAGAAATGTAGTATTTCTTATGGGATACACTAATTCTAACCCTCCCCTGCCTCCCCAAAATAAAATCAGTTAACTATTTCTAGGATTGTGAATGCAATTCTGCCCACAGGTAAGGACAATTTGTGCCAGGACCTTATTTTGTTATCTTCTAATTTTAAGTTTCCATGATTTTATTCCTCTCCTTCTCTATTCCCTTTGCCTAACTTAAAATTTTTTTACAGGTTTTTCAATAATTAATAAAGCAGCAGTACTAATATTTTTAAATCTTTACTGCCACCTTGTGGCTATCTTTCATTACTGCATGTGAAAAAGGGCCTCTCAGAGCTTCTGCTAAGCCTTCAGAATTGGGACAAGCGCAGGGGAAGCACATTAAATCAGTAAATGTTTTGGGAATGAGTCTTCTTGGTCCAGGAGAGGCAACTAATGATTTGCAACAAGAATACCCTTTAAGCACATTTGTAATCATGATTTCCATGTGAACAAAGAAAAAAGGGACTAGAACCGATAGAATTTATTGTAATTAAAGCTTGTTTCCTTTCGCTATACCCTTAATTTCTTTCATATTCCGTGCCCTGGGTTGATGCTTAATTAACACTTGTTGTAATGTTTATTTGGCTCTGACAAAGGTTTTCTCTTGGCATTGTTTTCTGAAGTGGGTTGAGAGACAGCATGGTTTGAGGTTATGAGCGTGGACACAGAAGCCAGACTTTTTGATATTGAATTCTGGTTCTGCCATTTATTAAATGAGTAGCTTTGGGTAAGGTACATTGCTCTGTGCCTCAGTTTCATCATTTGTTATAATAGTACTTATTTCATAGGGTTGATAATGGTAAGCACAGGTGCTTAGAGTAGAACCCAGCACAAAAGTGATAGCTTTTATCTTTTATCTTTTTTTTTTCCTTAGCCTGGAGACAGAGCTAAGGATGCTTGAACTTCAAAGTCCTTTATAGACCTTAGCTTCTACCATCCAGGCTTCTGTCAAATTAAACCAAATGAAAACTAGGACTCCTAGGACTTTCCCAGAGACCTTCTCTACAAACACCTGGAACTTCTGCCCCTCCATCCATAGGATAGATAACTTCAATACC